GGAAGGCTGTCGGTGCAGGATGCCTTCTACAAACTGCACTGTCCCACCTGCAGGGTCTCCCTCAACCATCGGGAAGCTCTGTCATGCCTGCTGTCTGGTCTCCATGACTCTAGCAGAGGATGAAGATGGGAACCTAAGCAGCCTCAGGAATGTACTGAATTATATGACTATGCAACTCTCCTCATGTACAGCTGCCCGGACCCAATCCGTCCCCCTCCACTCCTTTCCCCCCGCATGTGGTACCAATCCTCAAGATGCCGTCTAACTTCAGAGAACACTATTGAACAAGCCCCTCCTACCCCCTCCAACTACCAGTATTCTCGGACGTAGCTGCTGCCTTAGCAAGTAGTGCCCGTGACCTATTGGACCAGAAGTGTGAAAGCCTGCTCCAGAGCCAAAGCTTTACTTTACACTGTACTTTAATGCTCAAGGCTGATGACAAGTGCTGCGATTTATTCTTCAAATTCCTCCAGCACTGTTTCCATCAGTAACTAATTGTTCCCCACAGCGGCGCTGAGCTCCTAGGGAAACTGGACGGTTCAGTGCCTGAGAGGCTGAGATTACTCAAGTGCTTATACTAACAAACAGACAATGCGGTCCTTTTCAACTCTCAAGATATCCATAGAACAGCGTATTTAAAAGATTCAATGACAGAAATGATGAGGAAACGCGTTTGAAAACAACACATTCTTTGTTTCCTCTTTGAAAAATGAGTAACACCTTTAAAGTTGGTTTTTAACAAAATCAAGGTGGATGCTCCTAGATGTAATCTTTAGAACATGTTGAGAGCATGGTCTGAGGACCAGCAGCATCTGCATCATCTTGGGACCTGCTAGGGACGCTGAGTCCTGCCCACCCTTTGCACCTAGAAACCAGAATCTGTTTTTTGATAAAATCTCCAGGTACAGGTAATTGGCATGCCCACTGATATTTACGAAGCAGCTGTCTCGGAAAAGCAAGTCTTCTTCCAGAACGATTACTTCTGCATTTGTCTATCCTTAATTCATGTTCAGATGCTATTAGGTAATTGTATATTTTATAAGATCCTCCGACTTCAGTTACATTTGAAAATGCATTTGACCTGAGTCACTTAGCAGTAAGTAGCACTGGCTGCTAATACCTTCCGGATGTGTCAAAGACCATTCTAGGTGTTCATGTATTAACTTACTCAATTCTTAAAACAGCCCTGAGGCAGGGGAAATTATGTTCACATGAGGAAACCGAGGCATGGAGTGACAAAGAAACAAGGCTGCATAGATAAGAAGTTGCCCAAACAGGAGTCAAATGCAGGTGACCTGCTTCCAGAGCCCCTGTGCTGACCTCTGTGCTCAGGCCCCCCTCAGTGACTCTATGTCTGCAGAAACGCTCAATGGGAGATGGTTTGGTGTGGGTACAACCAGAACATCAGGTGCTAATCCAGGCAATGCAGGCTGGTCCGAGGACCACTGGGAAACCCGTTTAACTTTGCTGAGGACCTTCTCTGTGGGTTCAGAGTGTAGTTCTAGGCCCATAATCTTAGGGGTATAACAGAAATACTCCTTCTGGGCTGCTTAACTTACTCCTATCTTCCGACTAAGCCATTGAGAACAACAGTTTTCAATATGTGTTCTTTGGAACCCTGGGGTCCCTCACAGATACCTCAAGAGCCTAAGTAGCTATTCTCCCAGCCAGTTCCTCCAGCATCTTTGAGGTTAATGAATTTATATATTGGAGGTTAAAATAACAATTCAGTGGACAAAAGATTACCAATGTTTAAAAAATAAAAGATTGAAAACCACTGACTTTGAGGATTTGGTGGACAATATGCTAGAGACTCTTTCTGGAGGATCCTAAGTACTGTACTGTGCATATATAAACTAAAAGAGTATGGCAATGCTAATTATTATAATTATATAATGCTATTATGATTAGCAATGCTAATTATTTTTTTAAATTTGGCAATGGGTACCATTCTTTTCCTGATACCCCATACCCTCCTAAAAATATTATACAGTATGTATTTGTTCACACATATTTGTTCAAATTCACATTTTAAAATGTGTTAAGTCTCAGTTAAGAATAACTGATGCAATATTCTAAAATTAATTTCTAACAGCAATATACTTGACTATTCTTCCAAAAGCTATGTCAATTAAATTTGATTTGCAAAGGCACTGGCTTGTCAGATTTTATGCAGTAAATACTTAATATCAGAGGATCAGAACAGGGACAGAATATGTGCAGAATCTCCATAAAGGAGTTTCCATAAAGACAAGCACGCACACACACACACACACACACACATATATACACACATATATATACACATACACACCATAACCCAAATGTTGGGGTTGTGAACAGAATATGCACAAAGCTCCTACAAATTAATAAGAAAAAGACACCAAGTCCAACAAAAAAAATGGGCAAAGGATATGATAAACAATTCACTGACAAACACATATCACGTATAAACACAGAGAAGATGCTCTAATTCCCTAGAAATGAGGGAGACACATGTAAGATACTCTTCTCACCCATCTGATAAAAACACTTTTCAAGGCTGCAAATATCCAATGGTAGGCGGGTATGAGGAAAGAGTCATTTCAAATGCTGCCAAGGTGAGTGCAAATTTGCACAATATGTTCAGAGAAATATAGTAGAAGTAAGTGTACATACTTCCCAACCCAGGATGTTCACTTGTAGGAATTTTCTCCTGCAGGTGTATCTAAGATACAAACATGAAGTTTCCCTGCAGCTGGGTTTATAACAGGAAAATCGAGATCGAGGCAAGGGGTGGGAGGGACAAACAACGCAAATGTCCAGGGCTGGAGGTGACTTCAAAGAAAACCTGACACATCCATAAAGCAGTTGGTACAGCCATTTAAAAGTTACCATCTTTCATCAATTCTAAGATACCACAGATTGTAACAAGCATTCTGATATAACAGACATTAAAATGTGAAAATGTTCGATGCTGTCAACTGTAAGATACTCCCAATTTCAGAGATGCTGAAGAGTAAAACAAAAAAAACAAAGTGTGTCTTATGGATGATACGGAATTCAGTTTTAAATATGCTCTTAAACACACGGGGGCCTGAGTGGCTCAGTCGATTAAGCATCCAACTCGTGGTTTCAGCTCAGGTCATGATCTCAGGGTCCTGGTCTCATGGGTGGTGAGCTCTAGCCCCAGCTCTTCGAGCCCCGCTCAGTGGGGAGTCTGCTTGAAGCTTCTCCCTCTGCACCTCCCCCTGCTCGCTCTCTTTCTCTCTCTCAAATAAATCTTTAAAAAATACAAATATAAATACAGCTATATAACAATAATTAATGTGTAGGAAAAAGGTTTGGATGATTTAAAAAAAAAAAAAAAACCCAGCTGTTAAGACTGAATATCAAGGAGGAGAGGAGTTCAGTTGTGATGTGGTAGGTGTAGAGGGATAGAATATCTTGGATTAATTCTTTAGAAGGGGTATATGTTATTTTTGAAAAAATTTAAACAACAAAAACCACTGGCTACATAAAATGATCTGAGGTATCAGAGCCCTGTGAGCTGTCTCAAGCCCCCGTGTGCTCACTTCCTAGGGATTTCACCCTCCTCCAGTGTGGCATCTGCCTCCGGGGAACAGATACCACAGTAATGCCAACAATTCTACCCCTCCCTGTGTTCCTGCTCTACCTGCATCCTCCCCATCCTCAACAACCCAACGAGACAGACATAAACGCCTCCGGTTTACAAATGAGCTGTGCTGGGTGAGGTTATTTTTCTCAATGGGCAGTTCGGGATTCCCGACCCAGCCTGCCTGGCTCCAGAACCCATCCTCTTTCTAGTCCCGGGCTACTATCATCACCATCTATTTCTTTATGTATTTGCTCTTTATCCTTTGCAAGTCCTTTTTGTTTTATGGCATTTCAAATCGTTTTCTTTTTTATGCTACATTGGTTTTAAGTTACTGACAATTTGAAAGGCTACAAAATAGCTTGAAAGTTGCATTCTAATGAACCGAAAATTAATGCATTCCCTCTTTTCGAGAAATTCTTCCCGTCTTGACCACTCTGAGAATTTTTTCATTATAAACTCCTTCACTTTATACCCACACAGTATCTTTCCAGCTTTAACAAACCTTTCATAGCCAAAGACAAAATGAAATGCCCTTGAACACTTTTTTTTTTTTAAGATTTTATTTATTTATTCATAAGAGACAGAGAGAGAGAGAGGCAGAGGGAGAAGCAGGCTCTCTGTTGAGCAGGGAGCCCGATGTGGGACTCGATCCCAGGACCCTGGGATCATGACCTGAGCTGAAGGCAGACGCTTAACCATCTGAGCCACCCAGGCACCCTACCCTTGAACACTTTCAAGGACTTTCCTTTAAAGAGCAGTAAGTGGCTCTAGAGGTAAGAAGAGAAGCAGTAAGCAGTGAGCTCAAAGGCCTGCAGTCACTGAACAGCCCAGAGTCAGCACCTCCCGGGTCCTCCCCGAACACGAGGAGAAGAGATAAACCCGAGCCTACCTGTTGCATTTTCCACTTGACCAAAGGTTTATCCTCAGATCTAACCCTTGAAATGAAAGGACATTTGTTCAAAGACACTTTCACTTACTTCCTACTCTCTTCCTTTATTGTTCTAACCCCTTTTGGATCCGTCTCACCAAGAGGCTGACATAAAAACCGGGACTTTGACCTACAAAGATTTTCTACAGTCTCTAATACTATTTGCTCTAAGTAGACACTGTTGGAAATGAGAAAGGAAGAAAGGAAGTAACGGGAAATATGAATTCCAAAGATCTATGCCACCAGTCGCTAAGTCGCATGATGTTTCTTTGGGTCATTTGTCGTTCTTAGATGAAATAGAATGAGGGCTTCAAAAATTCACAACAGGGTCGGGACTGGAGCACACACACCACACAACACCTCTGATCCAAGTAAGGAATCGGGAGTGAAGATGAAGCTATAGAAGTGAAAGGACTGTCCGGCTCCAAGGGAGGGGAGATGGACTGCAGTGGAAGGAACCGGGTCAGGGCTCACCTGAGTCCTTCATGGGGCAGAGGGCACATTGCATACCCCAGGCCTCTCCATACAAACAGCAACACTCCGTGTAAGTCGTCTGCTTGCCCACGAGGGGCCTGCTGCACACATACTCTTCACTCAGATGTTCCCAGCACAGATCTTGGTAGACATCAGTTTCCTCTACTTGTTCTGAAAGGGGAAACATGGTTCCATGACAATCGCACTGTTATTCCTATTTCATAGACAGTGTGCTGGAAGCCAGTGAGTCTCAAAGTTTCCATCTCTGTTTCTAAGAGTGACTTCCAAGTACAGTATGAAGCCAGCCTGGTCTTTCCATGGATCAAACCTCTGTCATCTCCCACCCATCAGCTGAAATTCAACCTGCCCATCATGTTGCAATTAAATCCCTCCCTCTGCAGCTTCCCATCATTATAGAAAGCACCACACTGCCTTCCTTCTATGCTCCATAATCCTAAAGCACTTCTGATTTTCCAATCTTTCCCTTTTTACATTCACTCTTCTGTCAAATCCTACCATTTCTTTCTACATAACACTTTGCAGATTCATGCTTTCTCACCCAGTTCATCCGTCAGAGCCCTGGACTAGTAACACTTCCTGCTAGAGTACTCAACTCCAAACTTCCTGCCTTTCAACTGACATCATCCAAGGTAATTCCTAACAGTGATGGCTGTTGGGAATGTCAATTATGCCAATTATTAGTAGCACATCACCTCTTTGGGGATGAACAGGGATTCTAATCAATGGACGCCAGGGGTCTCCACCGCGTTGTCAGATTCCACTGTCTCTTCTGCCCAGCTTCATCTGTGTTCTCCAGCCCAGTCAAACAAACCTGATTACCCTTCTCTGAACTCACACCTTCCTCAGTTGCCTTTGAGGGCCAACCCTCAGGTGGAGAACAGCTCTGCTATCTGCTCAGCCAATCTATATTCTGTTATCTGTTAAATAAGTACATGCAGGGTATTGACTCTCCTACATGCTGATGATATGCAGCTAATTATTTCTCTTACAATTATTCTCTTTTATTATTTTTAGCATCTCATTTTAATGACTCCAAAATACCCGAGGAGTCCACTTTTCTCTTTCCCAGTAACTCACATTTCAGTCAAAAGGAAAACCTTGCCATTTATTTGGACACAGACTTGCATCTCACATGCAAACGTACCGTGTGATTCAGTTGGTCGTATACATCTTTTCTCTGAAGCATCCAGAACCATTGGATGGGTACAGAAGCAGTTATAAGAGCCTTCTGTATTAACGCACTGGCCATCAATACAACTATTGGGGTCCTGACATTCATCCATATCTTAAGAGAAAAAAATTATTAAAGAGAATCAGCAATCAGTTATACCTCATACACTTCCCAAACTTCACACACTGCTAAATTTAGTCCAGATTCCAGGGGCTGCCACATGTTAATTAACTACACATCATCATCCAAGAGAGAACAGCTCTGACTATAAAAATATTAAATCGTATTGATCGGAAGAATAATGGTGCCCTGCTGCTGCTGACATTAAAGAAAGAAAGAAAACATTTAGGAACAGGATATGCTTCAAAATTTAAGATAAAATGCCTCTTTATGATAGTTTTAAAATTATTTCCTTTTGCTATGGTTTTCTGCCTAGTGTATATGGTTTTCTGCTTAAGCCTTAAAGTCTGGGTCAGTATTTAAAAATGACTTTCACTTGCATGGTATGAGTGATGAAACAGGAGGCTCTCCAGACCAAAAGAAACTTCAGTTAAACCAGTGACCTGAATTATAATTCCACATTGAATATTACCTCTTTGCTTGAAATGTGTTCAAATAGGAGTACGGAGGTTTTTTATTTTCTTAAATCTTGCTCAAGAAAAAGATCCAGAAAACATTTAAAGATCTTTTCGACACGTGACTTAGATGCAAGGGAATTGTTTTTACTACACAGCATTACTTATTTTTTTCCACCTGTATATTTTCACAGCACAATGTAGCCTCCTAATACCTACCAAAGCACTGCAGTTTGACGGGGTCATAGTATGTCCCCTGCTTACAGTAGCATTCGTAACCAGGCTGAGTGTTCAGACAGAAGCCATTTTTGCAGATTTCTTGCCCAAAGAGCATGCATTCGTCCGCATCTATGGGGGGGAAATGGAGAAAGAGAACAGTTAGCTTTGGTCTTTCAGTTAAAAAGAAGAGTCTAAGCAATATGGGGCTTCAAGTTGGATATTATAATATTCACAGTCCAAAGAATCTTCAGATACAACAACAGAAAATTCTTCAAGTTAGGCCTAACTCATAGATATGGGAAGAGAGTCTGTGATATCTTGGGAACAACATCCAAAACATTGGTGGATAAGGTCTTTTTGTAAATACGATTTCTGCATTGCTACCTCCTATTTGATGAAATACTCTATGGGTTTCACAGTGCAACCAACAATATCTTCATAAAAATATACATTGTAAGAAAAGTGCCTTTCTATAAGTGTGTATTTTGGCCCATTAACTAACTAGCTGAGATAAAGAACACTCCCAAGAAGAGTTTGATGGAACCCGATGAGGCTTCTTTCTTGGTGATAATGACCAGCGAATAAAAGCACAAGTTGCTAAGGGTGTTGGCAGACCCATTCCTCCACAGAATTTAGAGTGTTCACCATCTGCAGACCTCAGTTTACTCAGTGGTAAGTTGGGGACAATAGGAATATCTGCCTGATAGGACTGAAACAATTAAATGAGAAAATCCATGTAGAAGACTCCATAGACTCTCAAAAACTGTTATCCCTTGCTTTCATTTCTATTAATATTATCATCAGTTCTAACATTTTGGAGCAAATGTCATGTCATTAAAAAAAACTGTAGGCTCCATAGATGAATCACTCCAAAGTTACACAGCTGGAAAATGGCAAAGTCAGGTCCATAATACATAGCTGTTTGGATCTGCAACTAATATTCCAACCGTTAACAGCACTGCTAAGACAGGGTGAGGAGGAACTTATTTTTATATGAGAGAGGGTGACTTTATAGTAAAATCAAGGCTCTGTTCCATAATATAAAGTGAGATTTAACTATATCCCTGCAAAAACAAAGCAGGATATTTGTGAACTTGAAAACCATTAAATACATATTGCAAACCAAGTCTTCTTGTTATTTAATTGGATTAAATCATAAATATATTTAAAAAACACATATGGAATTTCCTATCCAGCTACTGACTATCATTAGAACACTGGTTCTCAACAATGGATGGACAGTAAAAATGTTAATCTGTAGTCCAGCCACTTAGCAGTTTTTCAATATTAAGCTGTAAAGGGGGGGGAAAAAAAACCCATTGTATTTAAGAGGTCATAATATCTCTATCATGGAAATGTCAAAAGTGAGTGGTTAATACGGAAATATTCATACATGTGGTTTAAATTTTGCCAAAAAGGCTGTGCATTTATTCAGAAATATAGACTGATAGCATTAAATATATAAAACACATCTACTTTAATTTTCTCCTTTTCTATTTCCTATGAGGAATCCATAGCCATTGGTAAAAGTATCTTAGCCATAGCAGGATGAGTTCTAAAAAGGGCAAGAATTTTAGCTTTGTTGATGACTACATAGACCAACATAATGAGAGTCAGAGTTATATAGTTTATATTATTTCTAACGTATGTCTGGAATAAAAGAATAAATTTATAAAAAGTACCTCCTAGTTACAGAATTTTGTGTTAAGTATTTTTAGTATGTTATCTCATTTAATTTTCACGATAAACCTCACAGACGTTATTCCTATCTCAGACAGGAAGCGATGGAAACTCAGGAGGTTAACATGACATCCCAAGGCCAAACAGTCCTATGTACTCTAAATCCCAAGACAGAGCTCTGCCCGGAGTCAGTAGGGGCCCTCCAAGAGAAGAATTAAAGGCTTTCTAATCAGTTTCCACGATGAGAAGAACTCTAATTCTGTTGAACCCAAGCCATGCTTTTACTTGAATGATGATACGCACATGTGTTGCAAATTCATTTCTGTTTGATTCTGACCTTTATAGTTCTCACCACCCATCTCGTAAGAGGATTCTCCAGTGGGGACAAAACCTTTCCCTCTAGGACACATTTCAGTGAATTCAGCTGAGTTCAGAAGAGACCAAAAAAAAAAAAAAAAAGGAGTTAAAAGAAGAAAAAAAAGAACATCCTCCATTAATTTGTGTTTAAAATTCAGTTTTTCTTTCTTAGACTCAGTAACTTTAAGGCAAATCTTGTCATCTAATTTGGGCAAATAAATTCAGTACAATCTCCAAAATTACAGAGTAGGTGCAAATAAATCTAATGACTTTATACATTTACTTGTAATTTTAAAAAACTCTCCTGAGTTCATGCACTTTTGATTTACCTACATTTTAACTGATGTGATGACTTACTTCTCCATGACTGTGGTTTCTAGCATTTTAAAGGTTTAGTAAGATTCCATTCAAGCAAGATCTTAGCCTAAATATGCAAGCTCTATTTACAGATAATGAGGTGTCACTTTTAGCAGAAGAAACTGGTTTTTTAAAAATGGAATAAAACAGAATCGCCTTTCTGCCAAAATATCACAAGGAACCTCAATGTAACAGTGTATTCTGTGATGGGCTGAAGTTAAGTTCAAGGTGCCATTTGGAGGTGGGATGACAGGGAGGGTTCCAGCCCCGGATGAAACCTACTGTAAGGTAATCTCATCTCGATTCCGCGACGGCAGGTCCCAGGCAACGCCATCATTACAAGGCTTCAATGCAGAGACCAAAATGAGAACATTCCAAGGCCCTGGACGCCCCAGGACCAGACCCAGGTATGAACACACCACTCAGCAGGTCCTTACCAGTCCCCACGACAGGGCAAGGGAAGATCTCACAGTTGTCCCCCCACCCGGCCCCAGAAGTGCAGCAGCATTCCTGTTTGGTGACGTTGGGGGCCAGCACATTATCACAGAGACTGGCGTCGTTGAGATTATAGTAGCATTCTTTCTTTTCTTCCTTGGGTTGATCTTCATCTAAGTCTAAACAGAGTGGAGAAAGTAAAAAGAGGACCTCCAGCACCCATCAGATCTGCATCCCAACAGAGCACAAGGCACACCGGTGGGAAGGCGGGCGGGCTGCACCAGCAACATTTCACTTACACAAAGCGGCCTTTCACTTTCAGTGGTGGATTCTTCCACTGCGAGATAAAAATGCACTGGACTCCTGAATTTTGATGGATTTCTAACACACCCCAAGAGTGTAAATCTGTCAAAATCATTTCCTTTTATGTTAACCAATTACTTTATTCTTGTACATTTGGCCGTGACAAGTTTCCATATCTGCTTTCTTGCCAAACATAGAGCTGTTCTATATGAGCCGTAACACCTACTTAAATCAATGAAAACTTTCCCCAACATTTGACCAGAGATGTGGGGGCCACACAAAATATTTAACTCTTAGGTGGTTATTTGAATCAACCATGCCCCAGTCTTTTCTGAATAGAACAAGGCAGCAGCATAAAATAACCAGAAAAACATTGCAATAACCTAAAGTCTGTAAAATAACCTTTCGTTACTGAAAGTCTGCTTCAATTGCTACAAAATAGGGCTTTGAATGAAATAATGAGTACCAGCTAAGCCTCAGGGTAGAATTTCAAGGCTGGGTTCTAGTCTGGCTCATGTGTGTTCTAGAGGAATATATTTTCCAACGGACTCAGTTTAACCCTCTGTGAGAAAAGACAAAGTGATAATGACAGAATACAATGAGAACAAAATCCACCCACTTTCAGATAATACTACAAAAATTATTTAATCCCATCAGATTTGTAGTCCTTGCACAAGAGTGTGCTTTTAAAAAACGACTGATATTTTGAAACTAGGCTTGTAAAATAGTCTAATCTCTTCCCTACCATATGTTGTAGAGTTCAAATTACTGCCTGTGATTCAGTTAGAACTTATTAATAGTTTTTATTTTATGCTGTATCAAATAAAAAGCTGACTACTGACATCGCAATTACTTAGATTAATTCCAATGAAATATTTTCATTGGAATACTGCTGTTTCCAGATTCTTAGACACAAAGAAACTACAGGGACAAAGGGAAAACATTTGCCAGTCAGGATAACACTTTAATGTCAACACCTACCTTTGTTTTGCAGTTGGTAGATAAACTGTATTATTAGGAAAGTTTAATGAGATATTTTCACAATAGTTTCCTATATATTTATTTTGGCAGGGTCAGGCTGACTGTGAAAACTAGATTAATATGCCATATAGCAAGTCTTCCTAAAATAGAAGTCCACAGAATTGTATCAGAAAAGCTACTACACTTTCTTTCCTCCTATGGCAAAGAAAACAAGCAAAACGACAAACAAAATGGAGGTATACATTACTCTTGAAACAGAACATCAACGAGAATGTAAAAGATTCCTTTCACACTTGATTGGGGCTACTTCGTAGATCATTCTGTCTTTGACATAATTCAGTCTGGACTCTCAGTTAGCGTTAATAGCTGATGACAAATTCCAACCTAGAATAAGTGTCCAGGAAAAAGCAGAAATGCTGATTTCTACAGCAGTTTATGAAGCGGTTTTAAATCATTTCCTTGTGTGTGAAATCAGATAAAACCTGCCACAGCCCTCGACTCAACTAGCTTTTCAAGCGTGCAGAAGACAGAAATGTGCTTTGCCCACATGGATGGAGCAGATGACCCCCACTTCATTCGCCTCGGGAGGGGCTCCAATCTCTCACACACAGAATTCTCTGGGAAACGTAAGGGCATTTTAAGTTGTTATTAAAATCTGTCATGAACCCTGTAGAACATTTTATAAATTTTCCTGCAATACTTCTGAATAAATCGACAGCCTACTACTAATAATTCTCCTCATTTTATTCAGTTGACCTAAAAGTGCAGCTAGCTATTAAAGGATGCATTTAGAAATACAAATCAAAGCAGCAACACGATTAGAATGTCAATCAAGTTTACACTCCCTGTTCCGCGGGGAACCTGCTTCTCCCTCCTCCTGCACATGCTCTCTCTCTCTGTGTCAAATAAATAAATAAAATCTTTTATTTTTTCTAAAGATTTTATTTATTTATTTAAGAGAGAGAGAAAGTGAGAGCGAGCGAGCACGAGCAGGGTGAGGGGCAGAGGGAGAAGCAGACTCCATGCTGAGCAGGGAGCCCGATGCGGGACTCGATCCAGGGACTCCAGGATCATGACCTGAGCTGAAGGCAGCCACTTAACTGACTGAGCCACCCAGGCGCCCCATAAATAAAATCTTTAAAAAAAAAAAAAAATCAAGTTTACAGTCTGTGTTAAAAGAGGGCTGAATAACTGTTTTCTTCTTGTGTTCAAAGTTAGAGGTATGTCATGGTGTTCGTTACAAAATGGAATACTATACAGTAGGGCATCACGAAGATTGCTATATTCATAGGTAATGAGACAGGCTTCTGTAGTACTCAAAAACTTTATATGTACATATATAAATATAAATATACACGGTCTATTTTTTACAATGTTTGTTTTACTCATAGCACAGAAAGTAAGAAAAAAATTATCTTTGTTTTCCTTTTTCTTTGGAAGGAAACCCAGAAGTTATTGCATAAGGGAAACAACCAATAATATCATTGTATTATTCAGGTTTTACATTGGTTGTTACAAGTTTTATTTTTTCTCCAAGCAGACTGAAAGTTCAATGTTTACACAGCTGAAATTGGGGGTTAGTCAGGCCCTCATCTGTGTTTGGAAAGAGATGCAAATTCTTTTCAAAAAAACTGGTCCACAAAGGTCGTTCTGTGAAAATTTCCCTTTTTTTTTTTTTTTGAAAGATTTTTATTTATTTATTTGACAGAGAGAGACACAGCGAGAGAGGGAACACAAGCAAGGGGAGTGGGAGAGGGAAAAGCAGGTCCCCCGCAGAGCAGGGAGCTGGACGCAGGGCTCCATCCCAGGACCCTGGGATCATGACCTGAGCCAAAGGCAGATGCTCAACCGACTGAGCCACCCAGGCACCCCTTTCCCTATCTTTCTAACCTTTAAATAATTAACTTCCTACAGCATTTTTCCACTGGGGGAAAACTGAGCAGTAAACACAATGCAAGGTGATTTCTTTAGAGAATCTCTGTATGTGAGTTTAGGTCACTGTTGCCACGGGAGGAATGGTTCTTTTTTTTTAAAGATTTTATTTATTTATTTGAGAGAGAGAATGAGATAGAGAGCATGAGAGGGGGGAGGGTCAGAGAGAGAGGCAGACTCCCTCCTGAGCAGGGAGCCCAACGTGGGACTCGATCCCGGGACTCCAGGATCATGACCTGAGCCGAAGGCAGTCGCTTAACCAACTGAGCCACCCAGGCGCCCGGGAGGAATGGTTCTATCACAAAATAATTTTAAGAGATCTAATCAATGGACATAAAAGTGTCAAGCATTAAAAGGAACGAACTTTATTTTTCTTAAAGATTATATCAATAAGTTTAGCCACACCACATACCTCAAGCCAAAGACTTCTGAGAAATAAACTACCTCTCCTCCGGTATTTTCAGATGTCATTTTTCAATTTCATTAAGAGGCTGGCATTTATACAACCATCTGTGTATAAACAGCAATTTGTATAGTTTAATCCTGGGGTCTGGATGGTGATAAGAAGTGAGTTTTTGGACCTTTTACATGTGTTTCTGAAGCAATTTTTATGGAGGCCCTTTCTTGTGACCCACAGAGTAACTCCGCGAAGCAGACTGCATAGCTTATCAAACATCCTCACCTTCCAGAAGAGACAGTTTAGGTTGGGTACCTTGTGTCATGCCTACTGCTTTCCCCAAACCTCTTCTATGGGGCTCAGCCTCTTAGCATCTGAACCAGCATGAGTTTGTTTTGCTTTGCTTTTTTTCATTTCTTTCTCCTCCTCGGGACAAATGAGGAGGGGGCAGCAGATAATCCCCCCTAGGGTAGGGCATAGCTCTATAGGGCCATCACGTTCCCTCGCTCTGAAGAGAAAGTTGTGGGTTGAGTCATATGTGCCACTTACGAAGAGCACCTATCTTCTCTCTTGGTTCGTCAGAAAGAAGAGGATGTGGTGTTTATTTACAGGATTGTTTCCTTCTTTGGTCTAATCTTAGGTTTGCTGTTAGGCTGAGGAAATCTGGAACATTTTTCTAATTAAAGTGGACATGAGCATTTTAAATGGGCTTTTTAAATGTTTTTTTTTTTTTTACTTTCAGTTTCCATTTGCAATGTATTCCGAAGGCCTTTATGAGCTAATCCTCTTCATACCCTTCTGGGACAGTCAGGATTTTGACAATGACGAAAGAGTAACATCACAAATACTCGGATACAATGCCCCCAAATAAAACACCTGCCATAGTCATGAAAAAGACATCAATTTATAAAACTCTTAACTATGGTACTGTTCAGTAAATTACTTTCAACACAATCATTCATGAAGCTTTAGTCCCTTTTTAATATTTTAAACTCACTACAGGCACTAATGTTTTATACCAACTCATGTTTTTATGAGAAAACAATTTCTAGTGTAATATTCCAAGGAGGACTAGAAGAGGACTTGGACATTCATGATCTTTCCTTTTTTCCTCTAGTTTTCTCCATCAAAGGCTTCCAAGATGAGAAGTGTGTGTGTGTGTTAAGTGGGATTCAGGAGGGAGCCACTGGTGAGCTCCAGAAAACAAGCATTAACAGGAAGGGGTTGGACAGGAAGGGACGCAAGTATAAAGGACGACTGGAAATATGGGCTAATGACTTCAGTGGTAAAGGTGTGAAAGTCAAAATGGAGATGAGCAAGCCAAGCACAAGAAAAAAAAAATACATGGGAGAGAATTCCTCCACCCAGCTCCTGTCCTTAAAGAAGTCAGGCAGATGGGGAGTCAGGTCCTGACCTAAGCCACACTGTGTATGGCCAGGGCAGGCAAGGCTACCACGGGAGGCTGCCTGGAGGATCTGACATCTGAGCCAACGTCTTCAAAAATACATTCTGAAAAACTGGACAGGAGATAAGGTGTGACAGGGGTGAGGAGGAATACAAAGTACA